TCTTGTGCTTTTTCTTCTTATATCCCTTCTATTTTAGTCTTCATTTCTGAAATTTCTAAAAACTTCTGATTTTCTTCTCAGCTCTATGTGTATCTCTTTCTAATTTTCAAATGAAAAATTTTGAATATTTTTATTTATCAAAATTAGTTATAAAAATAATGGTCCACAGCACTACATTTCAAAAAATAGTAAATATGTACATATTAATATACATTTTTATAGTTCAAGATAAGAATTATAATCAGGCCAGGCTCATGACTTTAATCCTAGCACTCTGGGAGGCTGAGGCAGGTAGATCATGTGAGCTCAGGAGGTTGAGATCAGCCTGAGCAAGAGCCAGACCCCATCTCTACTAAGCATAGAAAAAAAACTAGACAGGCACTGTGGTGAGCATCAGTAATCTCAACTCTCTGGAGGTTGAGTCAAGAGGATCACATGAGCCCAAGTATTTGAGGTTGCTGTGAGCAATGATGCCACAACACTCTATCCAGGGTGACAGAGTGAGGCTCTGTCTCCAAAAAAAAATTAAAAAAATTATAATCAATAATTACTGACAAATTATAAGTAATTAGCAATTTATTCACTAGATTTATTATACATCCAGTAGCAATATCTGTTCACCTATTTTAAGAGCAACATAGTGATTTTATCTTACTTATAAAACTTTATGATTCATATAAGTTCAGTGTACATCCAGAGCCAACTAAGATTTTATAATTTGTTTTCATTCATTCATTCATTCATTGCTCAAACTTTTAAAATACATATTTCCAGACCCTGTTCCAGGACTTGGGAAGCAAAAGTTAATAAAAACAACTTTGTCCCCAAACAGATACAAGTAAGTAGGAAAGATAGGCTAAATATTCAGTAATTAAGATAGAGTGATAAGTGCTTTGAGAAAGATGTGTCGTGTCAAGGGAGCACATAAATATTTTAGTGAGGGAGCCAGAGTTGCCTTCCTGACTTGAAAGACAGGGTGGAGGTGCAGGGGACATGTTCCCAAGAAGCCAGGGCAGAAGTCTCTCAAATTCATAGCCCTGTACGTAATTTGGCAAAGCAGGAGGCAGGAAAACCAATAAGTGAGTAGGTCAGTGGAGATACATATATTTGCCCAATAATAATAATAATAATACTGCACTTTCTGGGTGCCTCATTCTTTTGCATTTTTAATACTCCTTCTACATCATTATCTTATGTAAAACATAATCCAGTTGTTCTACTGTCCATACTTCATAGGTGAGGAAATTCAGGTTTGGAAGAAACAATGTGACTCTTCAAGATCTCATGGTTGATCATTTGCTGTGTTGGCATATCATTTGGAAAGAATGAATGTATGCTATGTCTTGTACATGACAATATTAATGAAATTAACCATTAACATAATAGAGTGATCAACACATAGCAGAGAAGATGCCTGGCTGGTACAATGACTGGTTCAATGTTCAGTGGATATTTCTAAGTCAATTCACTAATACTATCTACATCAGTCATTCTCTAAGTCATTAACACAGTCATTCATTTCTACAGCCAGATCCTTCCTATCCTATCTCTTCCACTGCTAAAAGCCACTCTTCTAAGGATTAAGCTTTAAAATAATTTCCTCAAGCATTATTCCATCATCTTTATCACATGTATATAGGGGCAAATGCAGTTCTCAGCACATCAGGGTTCTCAATACATTGCTTGTTAAATAAGCAAAAGGCTTGGTGCTTTTTCTTCTCATTTTTTCCCATAGTTCCTTGGTCTGTATGTGTCAAGTAACTTTTTCTCTGCAGTCTAATCTCTTGTTTACCTGTTTTCTCCAGGTAAACGTTTTATAGGAAGGATTGGTTCTTATCCAACTTTTTGTCCTAGCACCTAGCACAGTCTGTGGCACAAATAGGTGCTTAATAAATACTTGTGGAATAAATGATAGATGAAGTTTTATGAGTCCCTTTGGATTCCCTTTGTATCAAGTTTCTATCCTTCCATGGGTTCTAAACATATCAGGTAGGATTATTGTTTAGTTTCATTGGAAAAAGGTTGGAAGAAAGATCGTTCTGGTAGAGTTACCATGAAAATTTTTTTTAAAGGAAATTAATAGCAAAGTTCTTAAATATATAATGTTTGTAAATAAATGTGCCCTACATGCAGCCTGGTTGCATTTCATCTCAGGATTAGTAAAAGACAGGAAATATTTATGGATTGAAACAGGAAAAGCATGGTATAGTGAAAAGTGGCAATATATCAGGAAGAATGTGGTCTGTCCTACCTCTTTCTCTGGGATAGTCCATCTCACTGAGAATGTTTCCCTAACTATAAAATAAGCAGGGGAACACAAAAGCCTTCATCTCTAATAGCTGTGATCCCATGTCGCATGTTAAGCAGTAATTACATCAGTCTCTTTTTCGCCTTTCCTTCTCTGAGTTTGTAATATATTTTCTAACTCAAATTTAAAACATTTTTATCTCAACTGTGATTATATTAAGAACTTATGATAAGTGAAAACACATTTCAGGAAATAGCTTTTTTACTTTTTTTTAAGGTCTAATTTCCATGTATTCTGTCTTTTTCCTCCTTCACATGCTCCTGTCTGCTTCCCTTGCAACCCCTTTTCATTCTTTGTTTTTCAAGGGAAATTGTGTTTGGGCACTTTTGATTCATGCTAAGGTAATTACTAAAATATCATGTGGTTAAAATGACTTGACATTTAAAATGCCAATTCTTTAAAATTAAGAAAAGGATGACTGAAATTGATATCTTTGTACCTTGAAAGATATTTTATTTTGTTAGCACCCCCACTGGGAGGAGGAGGGAAAGTCAGCATTTCAGTGTTCCCCTGTTGGAAGTAGGAAAGTTGAGGTAGACGTATTACATCCTGTCTCTTCCGACCCTAACAATCAGAGGTCTTAATGTCTCATTCTTTGAGTTGTCCATTTGGCCTTGTATCACATTTGTAATCACCTCAGCAAAGTGTTAGTTTACTCTGTATTTTCCTCCTAGGGTCTTTTTCTCTATGCTTCACCAGAAAGTAATTTTTATTTGGGGCCACCATATCAGTAATTTTTGAGTGACAGTTGCAGCCAAACTCAGGTCTTACATATGGTCTTTGAAACAAAAGCGTGAGTTTCTCTTTTTTCTGTGGTGCAGATATTGAAAACACCTGGCACTACGGAAAGACGTGAAGCTGTCAAGAAGCCCGCTTTATTTAAATTTGATTGTCAAGAAAACCCTCAGTCATCACCAGGTCTTAGCAGAAGACTCCAAGTGTCCAGACAAATTGGGAAAACCCATTGCTCTCCAGCTCTAAGGAAACAAATTGCCCTCGTCACTAGGGTTCTAGGGTCTTCTCTCTTGCATGTCATGCTTATCCCGCAAATGTTCAGAGGCTAGCCAGCCAGGGCCCCCATGCTGGCTGCTCCAAAAAGGACATCTATAACTCCAAGCAGTTTGCCACCTTGTTTTCTCACTCCTGGCAACGCAGGCAAAGGGTAAGGGATTATTAGCACAGAAAGGACTAGTTCAGTCACATGGAAAAGCCATGGAAGAACCAGTAACACTCTTAGGTTAGTTATCCAAATGAGGGGGGAAAGAGTGTAGCAAATTCAACTCAAAAAGATAGTTTGTTTGAAGTACGTTTCCACCTCTCTCTGTGCACTTTGACTTAAATTCCTCACAGTTTAGGGGATTTCTGTGGGTTTTATTTTTCTAAATAGTTTACTCTTTGGTTTAAGTAAATAGAACTATCTGATCTCTTTCACCAATTTATCCATTGAAAATCTTGGAGCCATTTAGAAATACAACGTATTAATTTTTCACTGGAAACCATGATCTGGGAAGAAATATTATCATCTCTGTGGTTTGACCTGTGATTTCTGGGCTTTTAGGAGTATTAGTATTTTATTCCTAGCTTAATTTTTGTTTTGACAAGAGCATACTTCCTCTTCAGCTTCTCCAAGTGTTTTAAAGTTTGTCGCAAGTTTTTAAAAATAATAAAAAATTTTTATTGCAAGCTTTTTTTAAAAAAGATGAATTTATGTATTAGATTTTTTTAAATTTCAGTAATGTAAAGGAACATCAGACTAGAATCCATTCTGAGCAATGATTTTCCTAGCTGACTGACTTTAGGGATTTGAGGTCAATCTTTCTGGCTTCAATGTCTCTAAGTATCAAATTGGCCTAAGGACGTCTTTTCCTCAAGGAGATATTATATGTAAGGGTACTTGAATGGTTAGAAAATATTCTGTAGAAACAAATGTAAGCTTTATGTACATGTATTAAGTTATCTCTTAAACACATATGGTATCTTAGAATTTATCACTTCATGGTATTCTGAATTTATTTCCAAATATCTGTAGTCTGTAGTCATAGAGTTTAAAAATGTAACTTATCCAAATTGACAAGTTGTTTGGTAATTTTGGCCAACAATGCTTAGAGGAGTTAGGGATATATATTAAACTTAGAGTTTTAGATTTCAATCATTTAAATCTCAGTTAATAATAGTACTTAATGAACTTCTAGTACATGCACAAATAATGGAGAATTAAGGTAAGAAAGATTAGATATAAAGAGGGAATATAAAGGTTATTGGTCTGTTCTCTTTCCCCAGGATTGTTTAAGTCCCTGTGTTAAATCTTCACACCAATGTATAGAATACAGAATTTATGATTTGTTTTCTTAACCTAATTTTAAGAGTTTGTTTATAAAACTATGACAGAAAATTTTATACAATTTGTTTAACATTTTGTCCTAAGATTTGGTCAGCTACTCTAGCTGGTTATTTGTTTACACGAACTAAAATCCACTTAAAAGCTATCTTATTGTCTTGAAAAAATTATCATTTCCTTAAACAAGTAAGAATTTGCAAAGTGGCGGATCCCATAGCTGAGACGATGGAGGATAGTAAAGATTTGGTGTTGCTTTCAGATCTCACTGCTTTTCATCATCCTTTCATCCCTTTTCTCCCCCTCTCCTGGATTTTTCAACCTCTCTTCCTTTTTACTTCTAGGGAGAAGGCTCTAGTGAAGGACACGCATTGAAGACCTACATGGAAGAAGTGAGTTTTAAGATGGCCTTATAACACTCACTCAGGCTTTCTCCATCCACCTGTAGGGTTTTTAGTCTGCATATGTTCAATGGGGATGTCCATAAAACCAAGATAATAAATGATATGTTATCAAAATAGTTTTTGCTTTCCACTTGTAGAAAGATACTGTGTGTGAGTTCAGTCACCCTGAACATGAAGGTAAAACTAACTACATAAAGCTAGTGCTCTCTTATATTTTCATCCACAGACATTAGTTGATATCCTACTAAACGAGGATCATGTGTTTTGTATTGGGCATGCACAGAAAAGACATGATCATTGTTCTCATTGGGTGACAAATGCTCTTTAGGTTGTTATTCGTGTAAATCCTTCCACAAAGTGCCATCCTGGCAATTAAAATGTATGGTAGATTTCCCTTCAAAACTTCTTTAGACTTTTGGATTCATTTCTGGAGATATACAAGGGTGTTCTGTGTCATAGAACTTGTGACTGACTGCAAACTATTTGGGAACTCTCAGATACACAGGTGGAAGTGACCATGAAACTCTCAGTTTGAAGCCAAACTATAATGGCTGCTAAATTAACTACCTAAATCTCATGCAGGTGAAAGGAACTGGTGCAGGAGATATCATAGCAGCACAAAATATCTGGTTTGATTATTACTTCTCAACAGAACAGAATCCAT